TTATTTATGCCTCCATATTTCACTATATTTTTTACCATACAGTGGCGGAACCATTTTATATTTTTCCTCCAGGTGTCCCATCACCTGTGACCTCTGTGATGTTGAGCTGGCTAATGCACAAGAGCTGGAGGATCATCTGGACTGCAAAAGCCACTGGAACACATTGGAACACATCCAGCAGAACAATAAATACGATGATCTGGCCATAGCATTCCTGCAGGTAAGATCACAGCCTGTACGGGTTAACACAAAACTACTTTAAATCTTACAGGACTTTGAAAAAGTGTTTATACTCCTTGAAATTTTCTACATTTTACCACACTACAACAAATAAACTATCAAGTACTTTATGTGAGAGACCAAGACAAAGTTGTGCAAAAGTGAGAAGTGGAAGGAACACTTTTTTTTTTTTAAACAAATAAATGCCTGAAGTGTGTTGTCCATTTATATAAATGTCTCTTGACTTTGATAAAAGAAGAAACCAGCTGGCTTTTCAAGTCCAGCTGTTCTTTGAAGGTTTGTTACAGAGTATTAGTGATCAAACAGCATCATGAAGATCAAGGAACACACCAGACAGGTCAGGGATATACAGACCCTTTCCAAAAAATTAGAATATCATGGAAAAGTTGTTTAAGTTCCATAATTCCATTCAAAAAGTTAATCTTTAATAGATGATAGATTCAGGGCCCACAATTTAAACAATTTCAAGTATTTGTTTATTTTTACATAATCTGGGCTTCCAGCTCATGAAACCTTCAAAAAATTAGAACACTGTGGAGAATTCAGCCCCAATTCTGCAGGGCATGAATGTTTTAAACTGAGTAACACACTAATCATCTACTGAACTCAAATCACCTGCACAGGTTTCTCCAGGTGTCATTAAATTGCTTCAGTTTGTCTCAGCTCAGTTCAATATGGGGAAGACTGCAGACATAACTGGCCAGAAGACCATCATTGATTCCCTCCATAGGATGGGTAAGCCACAAAAGTTCATAGCTAAGGAGGCTGGCTGTTCACAGAGTGCTGTGTCCAAGCATATCAATGGAAAGTCTAGTGGAAGGGCAAAATGTGTCAGGAGAAGATGCACCAGCAAAAGAGATGACCGTGGGCTTCAGCAGATTATCAAACAGAGAAGATTCCAGAATCTGTCAGAGATCCAGAAAGAGTGGAATGAGGCGGGAGCCACAACTTCAAAAACCACCACATTCAGATGCATCTGGGAGATGGACTACAACTGTTGGGTTCCTTGGTCCTCTTTTCTGATGAAAGTAAAGTGTACCTTTCATTCAGAAATCAAGGTCCAAGGGTTTGGAGGAAGAAGGGTGAGGAACAGAACCATACTGCTTGAGGTCCAGTGTGAAATATCCACAGTCAGACATGATTTGGGGTGCAATGTCCGGTGCAGGTGTTGGTAAACTCTGCTTTCTTAAATCCAAGGTCACCGCAACATTCTACCAGAATGTTTTTAAAGGACTTCATGATTCCTTCTGCTGAGGATCTGTATGGAGATGCAGATTTAATCTTCCAGCAGGACCTGGTCCCTGCCCATGCCACTAGAAGCACCAAAACCTGGTTTGATGCCCATGCCACAGTGCTTGACTGGCCAGACAACTCACCAGACCTAAACCCCATTGAGAATCTATGAGGTATTCTCAAGAGGAAAATGAGGAGCACCAGACCAACAACAAAGAAGAGCTGACAGCATCAAGGAAATCTGGGCTCCCATAACTCCCAGTCAATGCCACAGACTGATTGCCTCAATGCCACGTCACATTGAGGCAGGGATTAAGACAAAGGGATTCACAACCAAGTATTGAAGATTGACATATTGTTTTGAAAGTATCATATTTTGATTGATTTGTTGTGATCCTAATTTTTTTTCTGCAAAAACTGAGAAGTGTGGACTGATTTCTCTACAGTATTCAAATTTTTTGAAATCCCTTTTTCGTGGGTTTCATGAGCTGGAAGTCCAAATTATGTAAAAATAAACAAATAAATACTTGAAATCATTTAAATTGTGGGCCCTGAATCTATCATCTATTAAATATTAACTTGCTGAATGGAATTATGAAAGTTAAACAACTTTTCCATGATATTCTAATTTTTTGGAAAGGGTCTGTAGTTGTTGAGAAGTTTAAAGCAACATTAGGTTATAAAACAATATCCCAAACTTTGAATGTCTCACAGAGCTCTGTTCAATCCATCATTTGAAAATGGAAAAAGTCTGGCTACTAAACCTACCAACACATGAACATCCACCTAAATAAACTAACAGGTCGGACAACGAGACCATGAAGCTCATGGTAACTCTGGAGGAGCTGCAAAAATCCACAGCTCGGGGACAATCTGTCCATAGGACAATTACCTGTCCTTTATGGACGAGTGACAAGAATAAAGTTTTTGTTGAAAGAAAAATAAAAACATGGAA